CGACAGACGACAGACGACAGACGACAGACGAAGCGCTTTATAGTTAGTAGGATAGCGTACGACCCGGGAGATCTCACGTCAGCTTGCTGAGAAACTAGGCCACAACATGGATTGGAGGAAGCCCTCAAGGATGAGAAGGATTATCTGAAAAGGGGACTGTGAGGCCACACTCTTGATCGAGTCTCATTCAAGCTAATCAACTATTTTATCACCGATGTGTCAAGCAATGATCACCTCAATTGGTTGACATAATGAAATCATTGTATTGAGCTTTGTCTCACCAATCCGAATTAGATAGCCAAATACACTCCCAGATCCTCCATTGATCCTGTTGGGATGGTAGACTGTTAGGCCGATTTAGACTTTGCGAATCGTGCGATTCGCAATGTCTGACATCGGCCTTAGAATAGCTTGTCAAGGCACACGCGCTCGTGACTGCTCTTACTTTGAGCGCCCCGCAGAAGGTAACGGTAGAAAATCAAATTATAGACTGCTTATTTTCAAAATTTCGGAACGAAAAATCGACAAACTTTGTGGTTGTTGCCGATATCGGGTCCACTAAGAGCAAGAACCGCATACATTTCAAGGTTACTTGGGTCTTGACCATGCGTTGCATTGTGCACCTTTTTCTTTCCATAGTCATATTTCCTGAAATGAAATGGCTTTCAAATACTAATTGTTGGTAAATAGCTGCAAATTTCATGCCCATGTTAATATTGAATCTTACTCGTTTAATCCTTGTCTAGTGCAACGAAAATCGACTTCGTATCCGATCTCAGCTTCAAGTATAATTTCACCTATTCGTGACGACATTCCCTTATAGAAATGGATAGTCCGGGAATTCCTCAAATACCATCTCTCATCTCAAATACCATATAAAATCGGAAGTTCACCTATTTCATCGCATATTGGAATAATCAATTTTCTTCCGAAATAAAACTTTTTCTTTGAATTGTTCGGTCGGGGGAGGGGAGGAGGGGAGGATGGAGGATTGAGCAGTAATGAGTGCTCCTTCCTAAACTCACTGCGATAAGGGCATTGCAGCGCGCTGAGATTC